CGCCGCGGAGCCCCCGGACGCGACCATGTCGGAGGTGCTGCCCTACGGCGACGAGAAGCTGAGCCCTTACGGCGACGGCGGCGACGTGGGCCAGATCTTCTCCTGCCGCTTGCAGGACACCAACAACTTCTTCGGCGCCGGGCAGAACAAGCGGCCGCCCAAGCTGGGCCAGATCGGCCGGAGCAAGCGGGGTGAGTTCTCTGCCACCTTCCCCCGCCACCCCCTTTCTCGAGCATTGAGGCCTGGCGGAGGTTCGCGGGGGTCTCCCGTACCCGGGAGCGCGTTTCGACCCAGTGGAATCCGATCGCGCAGAATTGGGGCGATCCCGCACTGCGGGTCCGGCTCCGGCTGGCCGCGGGCATCTTTCCCCCTCAGCCAGATCCCCAGTGGGGTCACCCAGGGGGCGTGGCGGCTTCTAGCTGCTGCAGGGGCCGAAAGGTTATCCTGGGACCCCACCCGCACCAAAGTTTGCTTTTTGATTTCTACGTCCCCTCCCCATTTTGCGCATCGAACTCGCAGCCGCACTCGCTCTACACCCGGGGGTGGGGGGGGTGTTGTCCCACGACTCCCCAAGGGACAGCGTGGGGATCTGCCGAGGGAGGACCCCCTTTCCTGTCGGAAAGGCGAGGGTCGCACGGGTTTTCATTGTGACTTGGCAGAGGGAGGGGGTTTGCCGAGCCTGGGCGCTCGGCGCCGGAGTTGGAAAAGCCCGGGGAGACTGGGACGCAGAGAGGCTGGCAGAGGAGCTCCGGAGGGGACAATGAGGGGGACTGACAGCAGCTGGGAGAGACTGAGACGGCAGAGCTAGGGAGGGAGGCGGGTGGGGTGGTGGGGGGAGACCGAGATGGGCAGAGACCCAGACAAAGCTCGGGAGAGGGAGCCAGAGCGGGAGAGACAGCGAGCCAGGGACGCAGGTCTGGGGAGGACAGAGATGCAGCTGAAACAATGAGGCGACTGACACCCCAGACACAGAGAGACCTGGAGACCTCGACAGGTGCCCGTGGCGTCGAAAGACTGAAGGAGGGATTGAGGGAGGCGAGGCTAGATGGCGAAAGAGGGAGGACGAGGCGAGGCAGAAGCGGAGAGGCGGGCGAGCCCAGGCGGCAGTGAAGGGAGCCTCTGACCTCTGCAGCGGCGGGGAGAGCGGAGACGCCGAGTCCGCGCGAGAGCGGGGAACCCGAGCAGGCGAGGCCAGGTCCTTCCACCGGCTGCGCGCCGTGGGAACCTGCCCCTGGCGTCCCCTCTCCCTCTCGGCACCGCCGCTCCCAGCCTCCACTACCCGCGCCGCGCTGGGAGCGTCCCCGAGGGTCCCAGACCCGGAGACCTTGGCTCCTTCTCCTCCTCCCTCTTCTGTCCCCGGTCTCCTTTCTCAATAAATGAGCCCCGGGGGCTGGGGTGGGTGTTGAGGACGAGGCCAGGGCTGCTGGATTTGTGCTCCGCTTTCTTTTCTCAGAACTCAGCTGGGACACAGCCAGGGGTCGGGGCTTGGGGAGGTCAGAGGAAAGCCACCTAGGGACCCCTGACAGAGGCGGAAGAGGGTGAGGCTGCGTCCGCGCGCTGGCAGCCCTCCTCCCCTGCCTTCCCCCAATCTTCGCCCTCCTCCCGGGCGTTACGCGAAACGTTGGAGACCCCCGGCGAGGCCCAAGCGCGCTCACTTGTCCTTTTCTTCCCCTTTTTTGCAGTTGTTATTGAAGATGATAGGATTGATGACGTGCTGAAAAATATGACAGACAAGGCACCTCCTGGTGTCTAACTCCCCCAAAGACAATGAGTTAAGGGAGCGAATCAGAATAAGAACGGCGATAACAGTTATTGGCAAAAAGAGCATGGAAAGAGAAAGCACTTTGAAATTTATTACTAGCTTGCTACCCACGATGAAATCAACAACCTGTATCTCGTGTCAGGCCGGGAGACAGATGAGGCGTGAGAAGGAGGAGGAGGAGAAGGCTCTGGGCTCCTCTGCAAAAATAAAAATTAAAAAAAAATTTTGAAAAATAACAAAATCACTATATACACATATAAAGAAATAAAAAAGAAGTCTCAGTTGCAGCTATTTGTCAAAATTAATATCCATTTCTTTTTATATACAGTGAATATTGCGCAATTATAGGTCTGGATTTCGAACCACTTAAATAAATGAAGCAGCAACACCGGATGTTTTGAGGTGTTGGCATTTTCCGCTGATTTGGCTGTTCCCAATGTTTACATTATTTAATTTTGCAAAAATTATTCTGTGCACTTGGATGTGAAATGCTGTTCAGTTTTATTTTTTTATGTTATCTTGGATGTACAAAAAAATCAAAACGATCTCTATAGATATTCTGTTTTATTTTGGTCATCTTTTGAAGTTATCAGGAATGTGTTTAAAATAAGAGGACTTTTCTAAGGAATGAAACGTAGAAAGAATCCTTGTTTTATTTTAAAATGAATTGTAAAGCTTGTGTTTCTTTGTTGCTGCAAGCTATTTGCCCAAGTTAATGCAAATGGACACATTTTATATGTCAGGAAAAAAACCCATAAAAACAAAACAAAAAAAAATGCTTGAGCTTTTTCTAACCTCTCCCTGCAGTCTGTTGTGTGAGCAGCCTGTTTTTTTCTCTAATATTGTGTCAGTTTATTCTCTTTAATGGACTGTAAAAAAAAAAAATGTAATCACAAGAGTGCCAAATATCTTGAAATGCCAAAAGGCATTTGGTTTCTTTTCTTTTCCTGTGCTCTGAGTCCACGTAAAGGAATGCTTGGAGTGTCTTTTCTGTTATTTATAGGGGTTCTCTTAAGGCACACCAGCTGCCTGTTTTGCATGGTATTGCAAAAATGCCTCTTGCGTGAGGAAATCTACCATTTTTTGTTTGCAACTTTGGACCTCAAGAGGTTTCTTCCCTTCCTTTCCCCGTCCCCTCTTTTCTTAATTCGATATTCTGTATGTTGCACCTTTAACCAGCACACAGGGCTACTTCTCTCACGTACAATAAAAGAACCGTTCCTGTGTCTCCTCTCTTTTCTCTGCTTTGGTTCTGGGGGACTTGCTTTTTGTCTGCTGGCTGCAGACAGGAAGGAGGGAGGGGTACTTTGGTGTGTGAAGCAAAAAGGCAAGAGGGCACTGTGGCTTGGGCTCAGATGGTAGGAAAGACAAGCTGGACAGGCAGGGCACCCCGAAAGATCAAGTTCATTCCATTTGGATTTGTATTGGGCTCTCCCTGCTTCTCTGAGGTTTCTGCCATCGCCGTTGGGGTGCAGAGAGAAGGCAGGCTAGTGTTTCGGGGGGCGGGCAGTCTTGTTCAGAGCAATGTTTGGAGGCTGGCAGACTTGGATGCAAATCCCAGTTCCTTCACTTCCTAGCTCTGTGGGCTTGAGCATGTCCTTTCATTTCTTTAAGCCTCAGTTTCCAAATCTGTAAAGTGGGAATAATGCAGCTCCTACCTCTCAGGGTTATTGGGAGGATTAATACAACACCTAATATGTGTGTAGCACTCAGGGTTAAATGCCCATATAATCCTTCACCAAGGGCCACCAATCCTCAAAGGCAGGGCTGAGGAGGAGCTAGGCTCTTCCCTTCTTTCTGAGTTCACAGGTCCCCACAGGAGGGATGAGCCTGGTCCCCTGGGGCCAACAGCTGGGGACATCTCAGGCTTCCTTACTCAGCAACTTTCCTCCAATTACTTCAAAAAAATGCTCCTTAGGAAAAAAAAATTCTCAGCCCCTTGTCAAGCTCAGGGCAGTTGATGGAGCCAGCGCCTGGGCGAGGTGGGGTTGGGAGAAGGATTTTGGCTGAAGAAGGGCCAGGAGAGGTTTTTCTCCTGGGCTGTTTCACATCCAGGAGCCCCAGTGCGGGGAGCTTTTAATGTGTTTGTTGTAAAACTGTCAGCTGGGGAGTCACAACACAGCTTACAGTGACAGGAGCCTGCCTGTGACTCAGACATCAGGTAAGACAGGCCCTGGAGTGGGGGTGGGGAGGGGAAGAGGGGCTCCAGAGGGCCAGGCGGGGAGGGGCGGCATCTCATCCCCCTTTCCAGGCGGTGGAGGCCCAGATCTCGGGGAGGACCTGGCAGAGAGCTCAGTCATCCCATCGGTCATTATTAGGAACGGCGGGCAAGGTGGAGCTGGCAGTGCCATCGGGGTGATTTGGGAATGCGAGCTTGATTTTCCCAGGCGTGTGACCCTGTCCCCAAACCTG